TAGCAAACCCAAACTTTACTCACATTCGAAGGACGTTTAGGATTCAGCGAGGAAGACCTTGATACACTACACTCTTCATCTTCAGTTTTAAAGATAGTTCTAGATAAAAATAATAATACAACTGGCAGGGTTACTTCAATGCTTTGAGAAAGTGTTGGGCTCGTTTCCCTGAATAGCAACTAGCGGACATTATAACCACGGTGGTTAAATTAGGATGAATCCTGTATCTTATGCTTAGCTTTTGCGGAAGAAATTTTCTGGAGTAGTTTTTGTTGAGGTATTTTAGATGGATTTATCGATTTATAGACTCCTAAAAATAATACAAACATTAGTATCAATCGTGATATTTAATAATTTTTAGAGAAAACAACAGGTATTTTCATAAGATGTTTTTGATCTTTGTATTTCAATTGAAATGTAGGAATATCGTTTTATAGTTTTAGGTAGAAATATTTTATAAAATAGCTCAAAGCTGTGTAAATTATAATGGTGTGGTAGTCTACAATTAGAATTTTATAATCTTGCGATAAAATCGTTGTATTTGAATTTAAATGTAGAAATATAGTTTTATAGTTCTAGGTAGAGATTTTTTATAGAATAGCTTCAAAGCTGTGTAAATTATAATCATGTGGTAGACTAAAATTAGAAAGTTTTATTATCTTTCGATAAAATCTTTTTATTTCAACTTAAATGTAGAAATATAGTTTCATAGTTCAAGGTAGAGAGGGTGGATGATTAAAAAAAAAATCTTGCAAGCTATCTTCACCAAAAATAAAATCGTGCAAAAAAAAAAAAATCTTGCATCACCCTAAGCCCCCCCAAAAATGTTATATACAAGAAAAAAAAAATCCTACACACCAACAAGAGAAAAAATATATATCCTACCCAAAAGCCACGAAGAAAAAAAAATTTTGCTCACAAGAAATCATCCCCCCCCCCCCTTCCTCAAAAGTTAAATGGACCGTCCCTAAGACCGATTGGGAAGACAAACAATTTGGCTAATTTCATAACAAACAGCTCTCCAGCATAAAAGACTATCATGCTGTTTATCTTACTAGCTCTACACCGTATATGCAAAATGTAATCCCAATTTGGTGGTATTCAAAATCCCTTTCGGTCTTAGCTTCTATTATGTGACTTTTTCGAACACGACTACGTTTTTTCAATTAGGTGTATACACCATATACATCACAACACGATTCACTGAAGTTCTACTTTGGGAGACAAATTAAATGGGTCCAAATTTCTTCTGTGTTTTTGTCTCCCGATGTAAACATAATGCGAAGTCTAATGAAATAGGCAATTCATCTGACCGTACTTCCTGTTTTTGAGTTCTGTCCTATCGCGTGAGGCCTATTATATGATTAGCTTTTAGGGAACCACCTAAATATCACGAGTTCTTTCAGTTTCGAAACTGTTCGTTTCTTGGTAGTCGCTTGATGTGATCCGCATCTTTGAAGCTTTTTCTGTTCTTAAATCTGAATTGTCGATTTGCACAGCTCTAACTATCTTATTGTTGTAGTTTTATGACAGTATTTCTAATATTTTCTTTGATAAAATCCAAGGAGCTACCAAGTAACCAGACAAATTCGTAGTAAAGAAAGTTGACAAAGGTAGGCGCTAAGTTTATTTCATACTTAATTCTTCTGTCGTTTGAGAGAAGTTGATTAATTATGTTGGGAGTATTAGACATTTCGCAATTTAACCAATCTTAATATTTAAACGGGTTCTTATTTGTAGTATCAAACCTCCACCCAAACACGCCATGGAGTCTATTCATAAATATTAATTAGAAGACGGAAAACTTGTTTTGGACGAAATCCTGCGTTTCAAAAGCCTACAGTTGGATTAAAATTTTGAATAGGAAAACCCGTAACTCACCGGAGTTTACGTGTACCGATTAGTTTTTCGTCTCGATCGGACGGAATAAACCCTTTTAGCGATCTAGTCTTTTACGCTGTGTTAGCCTCAAAACCATATGATAAATTCTATTATTCACTAACAGCCCGTGCAAATGCAAGAGACCCGTTAGTATATAGAAGACAATGGAAATAGTTTGAAATTTCACGTGTTTTATCTTACAAATGTCTGAATATTTTGCACACAATTGAGGCTAACACAGCGTAAAAGAGATCGCGGAACTCAACTATTCTTTTCTTATATGAGTTCGACAAAAGTTGTCGAAAAGTTTTGTAAAGAACCAAATAAGAAATGTCAGATCGTGTTTGCGCCATGAATAAAGTTTCAAATTATTTGCATCATTACGTACTACATATAGTTAACTCAAGGGCATTGTCGATCATTCGATCACAACACTTCACTGAACACAATGTACCAAAACATAACATTGGCGTCACTAAATATTGTTGTTAAGAAACTACCGGTATAAACCTAATCGGCTAACGCGTTGCTAAAAACGTTGCCACCCAATTCATTTCATCTCACACATCATCAAATAATTTCCAGTGAGAAACAAAAGTTTTTTCCCACAAGATTTGAAATGGGTTGTAACGTACATGGCAACGCGTTAGCCGATTAGGTATTTTATAAAGGAACTGTTTTTATGAAGAAGGGTGTTACTAGGTGGGGCTTTCCTTTGTTTCATAAAAACATTAGAATTAGTCCTACCACCTAGGGGTAACCTACCTCATGCAAACAGGGTTTTCAATTGATAAAAATTTTGTCCCAGAACAATCGCTTTCTAAATTGATTATTTGTCTCAGACAATGTTTTTTCTCCTTGATATGAAGCCGCAACAACGTCAGTCTTTTGCACAGCGTGAGCCCTTGAACAGAAAGGTCAATCTTACTCTAGTTTCTAAATACCTAAATTCGCTGAAATGAGAAGTGGTCTTTGAGTGGTGCTCCTAATCGCAAGGCCGTCGGAAGCTCATGATAATTTAATTGTGTTGATTTGTGGAAAAATATCAGACAAATTGAATTTCTTTCTTTCCTTGAATGACAACAAAATCCCCTGTGTGTGTAATTTCGATTTATCGCATTACCATGCAGCAAGTTTCAAAGAATTGTATGCATAAAGATATAATATATGATTAAGACCTGTGACAAACGTACAATTATTTCGTTTTGATTTCGTGCAAAATGCAATATTCCATGCGAATGGCATTGTTTCGAGTCTCCTTTGTGTCAAGCTTCAATCATTCACTTATTTTTACCTCAAAGTTTGCGAAGCAATCGAAGAGTTATTGGAGTGCGACGAGTCGGTCACTCACTCATTCACTCACTTTCCTATAAACTTGAGCGTGCGTTACTTGTGTTCAGAACTATTAATTTATCTTCATTTTTTTTAGTAATTTAATAAATAAATTACCATACTATATTTGATTAAATTTAATTATTTTTTGGCAAAGAAAGAAATCAAAAAAATGCTAGCTACTCTCTGGGTCTCGAACCTCAGATCTCTGGATTAGAAATCGAAGGAACTACCACTCCGCCACGCGTACCAATGTTACATAATCTCGGCTAGACTTGTCTTTTAACTGCAGGCATTTGCTCCTGGTATTCAAGAATCGAAGTTAAAAATAATTAGATTTTAGCGAAAAAAACTGCATTGAGTCGTTTACTTTAAAAAATTCTATTTGTTAAGTAATTATAATTTGATTCGTCGTACCGTTCAGTCACAACGGTCGAAGCAATTAAGCATGAGGAAGACTGGACGATCCTCCAAATTCGTTTTGAAAATGGTTGTACTAAGGTGCTGGCCCGTGCTTATCGAGAACCCAACCTAATATTAAAATGAAACAATGAATACTCAGATA